AGAGAGTATTGGAAATGCAAATAGTTAAAAAGGTAAAATATCTTGGAATCTGGCTAATGGCTATATGTTCTACTATAAAATAAGATAATTATTTAAAATTACTACAACAAATACAAAAGGACTTGGAAAATTGGGCTAAATTACAATTATCATTGATTGAAAGAATTGCAACCATAAAAATGAATATCCTACCAAAAAAAAATTCTATTCCAAACTACCAGTAAAATTAGGGAAAAACTTTTTTGTGGAACTAAATAACATAATTTTAAAATTTATTTGGCTGGGGAAAAAAGCTAGGATAAAATTAAAATTACTGCAAGACTCTAGAATCAAAGGAGGATTTGGCCTCCCAGATTGGGAACTTTACTACCAGGCAGCAGTGGTAACATGGCTCAAAGAATGGATAGTACTCCAAAATAAAAGAATATTGACAATAGATGGCCATGATTTACAGCTGAGCTGGCATACTTTTATCTGGGAGGGAAAGAGTAAAGTCCATAAATATTTCCAGAGGCATCTGGTAAGAAGTAACTTCTACACAAAAAATCCAAGATGGATATCAACCATGGAAGCAATTATCTACCCCAATGTAATAGATTTGAACACAATAGTGACATATAAGGAGTTATTGTATGGGCAAGGAAAACTTAAAACAAATCAGGAGTTAAAATTACAGGGAATTGAATTAGTCATGCCGGCCACATGACCACGGAGACATCTTCAGACAGCGCTGGCTCTTCAGCTTTGAAACGGAGATGAGCATTGCCCCCCCCTAGAGTCGGGAACAACTAGCACATATGTGTGAGGGGAACCTTTACCTTAATACTTCACGTGATCTTGATGCTATACCAGTTTATTCAAGTTCTACTATTTTGTATTAAATAATTGGTTTCGGATTTTCTGTTGAAATGTTTTTATGGTTTTCCCCTTAGACAACCATTTTCTAGTGGCTAATGTTTTGGATCCTTGTCTTATAGATAAAGCTAACATTGATTTTACACTGCTGCATTCCTGTTTTATAAATGGATGATATTAATTGTCAAAAGCTTTCTGAAAGTATACTGCTATATTTTCTGTTATTAGGATTTACCCCCAATTCGGAATGAAGCTTACAAAAAAAAAAAGAGCAAAGTTAAAACAGTCTCAAAACAAACAAGTGAGGAAAACAAAAAGAACAAGATAAAATCTTATGATTATGAGGCTTGGGCAAAGCTGGATGTGGTATGAGAATACTTTTATTAAATATGTTTATCAAAATGCTAGGCAAGATTTTGTGACATTTATATACACAACTATAAATTACTAGTTTTTATGTTGTAAATAATGTTGGTAACAGTACTAACGATACCAGTCTTGTGTTGTAGTACTCGCTTAAAACTGGTATCCAAAATTTAAAAAAATGCTTATTTTATAAAAAAAAGTATAGTTGACAATGTTGTGTAGCATGCATTAATTTTGTTGTAATGCTTAAACACTTTAAAGTTGAGGGGTTGATTTTATTTATTTATCTATTGCACATAACCTTAATGCTTTCATGAAAAGACATTATATAAATATGATAATAATATTACATACACATACACTCTTACACTTTTAATGTAAAAAATGCCAGACGTAGGAAGAAGATGATTATTTACACTTCTAGAAATTATGAAGAAATTTGTTTCCTTTATTAGATAGGAGTTTGATGGAATAGTTGGAAATAGTTGGAAAGGCTATGATTCTGCCATTGATAAAAATATTTCTATATAGTATTGGTATTATTATTAAATTTATATGCTGCCCTTCCCACTATCAAGCGACTTTATAGTCAACCTGGTCCCTACCACCCATAGTGGGCATTCCAGCTTTCATGGTGGGCGGTAGGGGTTTGCTGTAACCCTGCTTTATAAATTTAATAAAGTAAAGTTACTTTCCTACTTTATAAATCACTATTACTGTGGAACCGGTGGGCGGTTAGAAAATTTTACTACTAACAAGATACAAAAGTGGTCGATAGGTATAAAAAGGTTGACTACCCCTGTTATAGACTTTATATATCTGCAGGGTTCTCTTTATGTATCGTATATTTACTCAGATTGCTTCCTTGCTGCATTATATACTCATTCTTTAAATTTGTTTTGCCTTCATAAGATTTACATTTGTCTTTTCAGGATAAGATACTTGAAGAATTTGATAAGGAAGATACCACTCATGACTCAGTGTCAGATTCTGAGGAAGATGGAATTCGCATTGATACAGAAAAAGCTCTTACTGAGAAAGAAAAGGTTATTTGTCATGTTTTAGTAGACCCACATTTTTTCTTCTAATGCCTCACTTAAGGAACAGGATAAATTAACCTATATAAAAACTTGTATTCTCAAACTCTAGTTGAGAAGGATTTTTTTTCTTTATATTATGCCTTTATTATTTGTACAAATAATTCAAGGCATACTCAACTTATCTTCCTCCTTGTACAAATAACAACCATGTGAGGTGGATTGGTATAGAGAGAGAATGACTGGCCCGAAGTCACTTACCTGGCTTTCATGGCTAAGGTGGAACTTGAACTCATAGTCTCCTGCTTTCTAGCCTGGTGCCTTAACCACTAGACCAAACTAAGTTTCAAATTTAGTTATATGAATTTTGAAACCAAGTCTGGATTTTAGTAAAACCAAAAATATGTCTTGCTGTTCTTCAGTTTTTCATAAGATTTTTGTTCACATAGTAATTTGATTGCCTATGCATCTTATGATTTTTTCCATAAGATTTAAAAATTGTCAATATGTAGTGTTCTAAATCAAATTGCAGAACGCTTTGAAGAAAATTTGTCTTTAGAATATATTACAATGCAATTGTGACCATGATTTAATCTATATATATATAAATGCAAAAATACTCATGCAGGAATCACGAAATCTCCAGAACCATAAAGCCTACAAACTTGAAATTTGGCACGTATATTCCTCTTGGCTTCTAGGTATTCAGTAACAAAGGATTTTTCAAAATGATCATCACAGCATTAGTATTTCGTATATTATTATTAACATGCTCTGATGCTAAGGAGTTAGACTTTCTACTCCCCCTCACAACTTGAAAACTTGGATGTGGGCATGGCCAGCGCGTGACTCATCCAGCCTGCTGGCTGGGAGTTTGGAGAGGAGCCTGAGGGAGAGAAGGGGATAAGATAGGTGGGGCTTCTATGGGGCAAGCCTGAGGGAGAGAAGGGGAGAGGATAGATTAATGGTAACTACTCAATAATTTTCAAGCTGTGTGTTGATTTATCAAGCCCGATCATATACTTTTGTAGCGGAGCATGGGTATTAAGCTAGTACCCCTTTATATATATGTCTTTCTATTTTTCTTCTACCATGGATTTTGTAGATCCTGAAATTTATGTTCTTGAAACTGAAAAAAAATCCTTCTTGGATAATTATTAAATGATTGTTATGTCTTTATTGCCATCTGATCCACCTGCTAGAACAGAGGTGTCAAACTATTTCATTGAGGGCTGCATCAGGGTTGTGGTTGACCTCAGGGGACCAGGTGGGGATATCTGAGGTGGGCGTGGTCAGCTCAACATCATTCATTTCGCAGGCACCTGTGGTGGCCTGGGTGAGGCTGGGAGGATCCATTGTCTCCAGCGGAGAAAGGTGAGACCAGGGAAAGGTGTCAAAACCTTTCTCGGGCCACACAGAGAACACCTGGATGCAGACTGCCCGGAGCCCTAGGCAGTGGTGCAGACTGCCCAGAGCCCTAGGCAGTGGAGGGCCACCTTAGCTCTTGAGCTCCCAGGGCACCAGAATCCCAAGGGTGCACCTGGCTGTGCTTACCTCCTTGAGGCTGCTGCTGCTCTGATCACTTTCATTAACAAGGTTGCTCATCGTGTACAGGAGGGCAAAGTGTGTGGATCAGAGGGTGGCCCACTCCCTCTCTTTTCAAGGAGACCCGGCTTTGTAAATAAAGCATCCCAGCTCTAGGATGGGAGACCACCAGGAGAGGAGGGGGAAAGTGGATGGCGAAAGGGCAGCAGGGCTGCTTGTGGCCAAATGCTAAGACAGGACTTACCTCAGACCTTCCCTCCCTCTCATAATCTCCCTCCTTCCTTCCTTCTTCTCCTCCTTCCCCTCCTCCTCCGCCTCCTCGTCCCATCCGTCTGTCCCTTCCTTCCCTCCCTCCCTTCTGCATTTCTCAGTAGGTTAAAGAAGGGGTCTGCAACCTTAAACACTCAAAGAGCCATTTGGACACATTTCCTACAGAAAAGAAAACACCGGGAGCCACAAAACCTAAGTGGGCATGGTCAACTCAATGTCACTCCCTCCCACCCAGTCAGATGACCCTCCCTAGCCAAGCCCACCCAGCCAGTCATTAGGGTAGAGACCCAATTATTAAAAAACACCTGGAACCACAAAACCCTTTTGACTTCTCCCCCTTTCTCTTTCTCCCCCTCTCCCCCCTTTCCCTCTATCTGTTTCTCTCCCCCTCTCTGTATCTCTTTCTGTCTCCCCCCTCTCTTGACTCTCTCCTCCTTTTCTCTGTGTCTTTATTTCTTTCTGTCTCTCTCCCCTTCTATCTCCCCCCCCTGTGTCTATGTCTGTCTCTCTGTCTCTCTCTTCTATCCACCCTCTCTCTCTGTATCCCCCCCTCTCTCTGTCTCTCGCCAGCTGTGGTTGCAAGAGAAGGAGGGGGAGGGCTGCCCAAAAGGAAGCCTCCGCAGTGGCTCACACTCGTTTCTCAGCCAGCCCGGATTTCCAAAAAGTTGCCAAGAAGAAAGAAAAAGAGTAGCAAACAGCCCCAAAGAGAGAGAGAAGAGACAGAAAGAGATACAGAGATACAGATAGAGAGAGAGATACAGAGATACACAGAGAGAGAGACATATACAGAGAGAGACAAGAGAGAGAGAGAGATACAGAGAGTGGGGAGACTAGCTGATGGATGAGCGTCATTGGTAAGGGGGCTCTGGCTTTCTCAGAGCCTAATCCCTGGGGTGGGCATGTGAGATTCAGTGGGGCCAGCCACCTTTTCCTGTTGCCCTGAACTTTACTCCTCTAGTGGAGTGGTGCCGCTGCCAGCTTTCTTTGAAAAGTGTCCTTCAGGTGGCGAAAGTCCCCCACGCCCTTGTGACCTCAAGACTGGACTACTGTAATGCACTCTACATGGGACTGCCCTTGAAGAGTATTTGGAGACTTCAGCTTGTCCAGAATGCAGCCACGCGAGCGATAGTGGGTGCACCTTGGTGCACCCATGTTACACCTACCCTCCGCGAGCTACACTGGCTGCCTATTGGCCTCTGGACACGCTTCAAGGCCCTAGTTGTCACTTATAAAGCCCTTC